ATTTGCATGGATGTACCAAAGCATTTAGAACTTGTTCAAAGAAATGAGAGACGACTTTTTTGATGTGCACAAGCGACACAATGATGTGAAGATTGAACAAGTAGTTTTGAGAATTTCAGTTATAATCTGAGAAATGAACCAAAGCGACTGAGAAAAACTGTTAAAAAAAAAAAAAAAAGGATTACGTAAAGTGTGAATCGTCCAAACAAGAGTAGACATAAGAGCGATGACACCAAATTTGACTCGACGTCTTTGTTTCTTTTCTCTTCAGCCGTCAGTCGGTCAGATTAGCAGCTATACCTCTTGCTCTCTTTTACTCCCACGACCTCTCTTTCCTGACCCTGCTATTGTCGGGGAGGTTATGGGCAATTTGGGGATGATACGGCAGCCTATTTAGTCGATTACCGCGAGGAGAAAAATACTCCTTTTGGAAATCCAGCATGCCCACCGAATACATATAAATCCAGCTGTAAAAAGCACAGCGGGGGTTAAGCCGGCAGTAAATGTAATGTGAGACTTGTCAGGCTGCCATTTTGCAATAAATCAAGCAAAAAAAAAGACGCAAGTAAAAATTAAAAATGCCGTAAACAATATACCTTTATTGATATAAATGAGAGGGACAACAAATAGATAAACAGATTCTTCAACAAAAGCTGAGCATTTTATGAATTCTGTTACACTAGTTTTAAGCCAACACACTGTTAACTGAGTGTCTTATCCAATTATAATATCATCATATTTATTTTAGCACAAGCCAACATAGATTTTTTTTTTCCTTTACTGGAAATGCAGGCAAACTGATGTGCACAGTTTTGAATTTTGCATGAGTTTGTGGTGTTTCACAGCGTGAGGCGAAGGGGTTTTAAAATCCTAGTAAACGCCCGGCTGATTGAGCTGCCTCCTGGTAATCAATAATAACTGCTCCTGGCACAGATTCAGAGCAACCACACCCTGCAACACACACACACATGCATGAGCACAGTGTATATCTGCCTTAAGCACCCACAAAAATCACATGTGCACGCAACCCTGTCAGCTTTAGCACATACATGCATTCATTACGGAGCGAAGAGAACATATCCAGCTGCAGATTAATGTGTGAAGATGCATGTAATCCTTCTCTGCGCTCAGTCTGAGGACTCGATGTTGTACATGGAGGGGGAAGGAGGAGTGAGGAGAGGATGACAGGGAGAAGGATGATGGTCTTGAGTGGAGGACATCATATGTCACTGGTGCGAAAGCTGGTAATCTGTTGTCAGCTTTCACTGATGTGTTAGAGTTTGGAGGGGAGAAAAAAAAAAAACCTTGATTGAAAGTGAATCCTGCTGCCAAATTCTGTTCTCGTGTTGAAACGAGTCGAGTAAAAAGGGTTTACAGCTGTTTAGTGCAATATCAAGATTTAGTTTGTGCATGACGGAGTTCATAAACTACACAAATCCATGTAATGAACGGCTTTATTAAACATTTTCTGTCACAAATGAGAAATTTTCAGCAGCAGCAACAGGTGTGTGTCACCGCTCCGCTCTTCTCTTGCTCTTATTTAATCATCAGTATGTTTTTTTAAAGCATGATGGTTTAAACAAATAGAAACCTCGACAAGACCTGTTTGACTGGTTCTGTTTAATTTACTCGTGTGTTCGTGCAGCCTTGTTTCATTCAGTTCTTGTTGTGTCTCGTGGCTGTAAAGATTAGTGGCAAAGGGAGCGGGGTAGCAGGGCTTTCCATGGGGCAGGGAAGGATCCAGCCAAGAGGAAACGTAGCCAACAAGGCTGTGAAACACCAGATTTGGTTGCCACTTGCAAGTTTTAATAACACTATCAGACTATACAGGCAAACATTGATCTTTATTATTGCAGATTATAAGTTTGCTAACCTGATTGTAAACACACAGTGATTCATTTTATAAGATGTTTAGGATTCTTGAGTGTTTTAACCCACACAGTCCATAAATAGCTACGAAAATGTAAAACCATGCTCACTGCTGACTAATTTGAACTGTTTGAAGAATTTTTGGAACCTATTTATTAGTTATTTATTGACATCTTCACAGTAGGATTCATCAGGACATGCCAGAATGGAAGTTAATGCGTTGTTTTACTAGAAACATGAATACACTCGTATTTTATGAAAACAAACCAGGTTATTTTAAGAGACAATGTGTTTTTACTCCCATGTTCCATCGACTCTGTGTAGTAGTTTTACAAACCTATGACAGAAAAAAATGTGAAATAACAAACCTCTTGACTTAATTCATGTGAAGCAGCACTTCTATCCATCTTCTGCTGTAAAAAAGTAGCATAAATGAAGATAATTCATTCATTTAGCCCATAAACGTCTGTGTGGCACATGTTTTATGGCTTACTGTGCGATCGACAAGTGTTTCTGGGTGTTTTCTGATGAGGATGTCCCCTGTCTGTGCAATCAGTGCAATATGTAATGTGTTTTGTCATTATTTATTTTGTTAATATTTGAAGCAGCTTTTCTGCTTTTGAATAGACCCAAAAGCTAATATAATGAAGTAGCAAGCTAAATGAATATTAGCCAACTCTGTTTGGGAGTTTGATGAAAATCTCTGGTTACATGCTGTTTTTTTCAGTCTCTAATTTAATTGGAGAGGCTGTCAGTAAAGTTACCCAGTTAAACTAATTTAGAGTTAAACTACTGTCTCTTGGACTGACATCCCTAAGGTTATCTGTGAGAAAACCCTACCCAGCATGTTTTAGTGAGAAATGCAAAATGCACTCATATGTTGCTTCTCTATGTTTACGCACAAATCCTTCACACACTACGATCATATCTAGTCGAATTAGATTTAGAATACATCTGAGAACGACTCTGGTTTCCTTCTGTGCGATGTTGACAAATCCTCACCAGCACTTTATTGGTGGTTATTATAAGAAAGCTTAAAAAACAACAGTCGATAATATATTCTGCCCTATTCTTGTCTTCTATGCATGTGTATATGTTTGTGTATATTTTTGTATCAACGCAAAACATGAAGCAATATTTTTGAAAGAAAAAGAAGAATCCTTTAAATTTCTTTGTTAAATGGGAATTATATAATGTAAAATAAACATGTCAGTGTTTTCTAGCAGACAAACAAAGATAAGTCTGTGCTGTCATGTCCAGCTACTTCTCTACTGACATGTACTCAACCTCTGGAACAAGCGCATATTGGTTGAAATATCAGTCTTGCCAGTTTTATTGGTGCGACTCAAGTGATTATTGTTCAGGACAGTTGATGTTAGCTACAGGTTTTTTGTGAATGGAACCGTTTTTTGTCACATTTTGTTGGCGTGAATTCGACTGCCGGTCAGTTGTTGTCGAAACACACTGGTCACTTTTTCAAGCTATTTGTGCTTTTTCATTGGAAAAATACTTCTCATGAAAATTCTCACTGTCCTGGTCCTGATCCTTTAGTTGGGAGGCCGAGGTCTGATGGACATCCAGCAGCATGGTGGTGATGGCGGACGGATGGTTAACAGCAATATACACCCCAGAATAAAGGACCTGTTGTTTAGCCGAGCATCGCAACAAAACCCTTCCTCTCCGCGCCGCTGGCTGCTCCTCATTTGCTTTTTCCATTTGTTCTTTCATCCTCTCCATCTCTCCCTGTTTCACTGATATCACGTTGTGTTTTTTTCGCCCTCCCTACTCCACTCCTTCCCATTTTCCCCCATTTTCCACTGTCAGTTTCTCTCTGCTCTTCGCTCCTCACCCTCCACTCACCCCACCCCTCCTTCTGATCTCTCATTCTGAGCTTTTTGTTCCCATTTTCTCCTTTCTCTCTCTCTCTCAACCCCAGCCTCATTAGCTGGATGCTCCACTGGTGGAAGGCGTGGTCTTGTTGCCTTTTCAGTCTCCGTTGAGTCGTCACGCAGACATTTTAATGGTTATTGGTTGGAAATTCTTCCGGCTAACATCAAGCGCGTGTGCATATCTATACCTGCCAGTCTGTCTGTTGCACTTTAACACACACTTAAACCAGTCAGTGAGTCAGTGAGTCAGTGCTGGTTGCAGTTCTGTTCCAGTTTCCAGTAAGCTGATCCTGCTGGCAGAAGCTCGTGGGGAGACTTCCTTTTCTGGAAGGACCTGATGCATCGTGTTAATGATCCCCCCTCTCTCTCTCTCTCTCTCTCTCTCACTGTCACTCCACTGGCCTGTTTGAGCAGAGTCTCATTTCATATCACAGCGTCTGTGCGGAGAGCAACAGCAGAGATCATCCAGCCGGCAGAGTGAAGAGACTGTGTGGATCACGCCCCCCTTTCTCTTCTGTGTCTCAACCTTCTGTCTGTCACTAACACCAGCAACACACTCTTGTCACTCTTCTCTTTCTTGCTCTTCTGTCTGACCCGCCAGTTTTCTATCTGTCCTCGCTCTCTTTGTTTATTTCTTCCCCATGTGCCATTTTCCTTTTCTTTTCGTGCGTCTTTGTCTCCAGTGTCTCCAGTCTCCACGTCAGGTAGGCACCACCGCAGCCAGCCTCAGGAATACACTCATTCAGTCTCTCTCTATCTCTTCTGTCTTCCCTCATCATACATGCCAATATCCTCTTCCACCTCCTCATCTTCCTCCTCCATCTCTGTCTCTCCACTCTCCTCCTCCTGCCTCCACACCCTGCCTCTGAGTGCGCCGGAGAGAGTCGCCAATTGCGCACGGCGAAGGCAGCAAGTGGGAGTGGACCACGGCGAGCGTGCTTGCAAGTGTGTGCGAGTGTGTTTGTGAACGTGGAGAGGAAGAGGAGAGGAAGAGGAGGAGGAGGAGGAGGAGGAGAGAGAGAGAGAGAAAGAGCATCAGCACAGTCCTCCCAGTCTCTCCTCTCTTCACGCACACTCCCACTCTGCATGGAACAATCCTTCCCTCACTGCTTCTAAATGGACATTTCTGTGGCAACGTTTCACCAGTGAAGACAGCAGCTGTGCCGCCGCTCCATTCCACAAGCTCCTACATGCTGGATTTTAAAAAAAAGTGAGGAGAGGAGAGGAACCGGGAGGAGATCTCCGAATATGAGTGAGGAAGCTAAGGAGAAAGCAGGCGGCGGGAAAGGAGCCCATCGCAAGAAGAAAGGCAAAAAGGTATGAAAGAAGAACAAGAGCTTTGCTTTGTCTTGGTGTGCCTGTGCTGTGGCTCTGTTGTTGCTCAGGCTCAGCAGATGGTCTTTTCTGTGTTTGTATGGAAAGTAAGAGGTTGTTGGATGAGGTGAGATTCACGGGTGAGGTTGATGGACCCATTGGAAAGTGAGTGAAGGTGTGTTTTATTGATTTTGAAGGATTTTTTTTTTCTCCCCTCCATTCGATCATTTATTCTTATTAATTGAGCTTTAATATATGTAAGATTGAGACAGTTTTTTATTACATAAGAGCCAATATAATCAAAGCACACACTGTTCAGCTGGTTGTTTTTACAGATTTTTGCTGTCAAGTGCGCTCAGATTTTATCTCTCCTGTGTTTGTGGCTCTGACACGCTGGAGAAATATTTGTTTAGCCTCACCCGGAATGCTACCGGAGACAACTGAAAAGCCGCCTGTCAGTCACCAGTCATTATAGTCCTGATGTTGCAACTGGTCGGTCTGGTTGTTTTGCTGTGAATGACTTCGGTGATGGGGGGGAGGGGGGGGGAAGCAATGGTATGTAAAGTGGAGAGAGAGTGTGTATAATGGAAAGCAAGGGGGATGTCCTCGGGGGGTTAGGGTGGGGGCAACATAACGCACCGCACAGGCGTCTGTTGTACAATCAAACTCCTTCACAGCTGATCCTGTGAGTCTGAGATCCGTGCACTGTACGTTAAATGCATAGCCGTCCTGTTGTGTTCCTCAGAAGTCGTTATTACGGCGTTTAATTGAAGGTGTTCCCCACTGAAACATGTTTTGACTCATGAAGTGGAATGCTGGTTTGTGTGTTTGTGCGAGCCTATATGTGATCCTCCGCTTGTGGCTCACAGTTAAACACCTTGAGCGCTTCTCTTTGTGGGAACGTTTCTGCCTCCCATGCTGTTGTGACAATGTGGCCAGCCCATGATAAATGTGTTTTGCCGGGGAAAGCCACTGATGATCACACGCAAACAGTCTCACGAAATACACACTTTGGCGAAACATACCCACAAAGAGTACGTTCCAGATCATTTGGAGGTAGAGCTGCATTGGAGGTGGCCCTTGAGATCAGGGATTTGGAGCGTGGGGAAGACCGGGGTATGAGAGAGAGAAGCACAGATACAGCAGACTGTGATTACATTTTATAGTGAGTGAATCTCTGTTCTGTGTTTCCAATGAAATCATTTATAGCTGCTGTGATCTGTGCCAGCCTCAGTGCTAACGCTGTCAGTCTGGTTCTTCGATGGCAAGATGCTGAAACTATTGATGGTTGTTGACAAAGTGGAATGTCACGCATTTCGTGGTATGTGGTGTCTGAGCAAACTAGACCTTAAGAACTGATAAAAAGAAAGTGCCAGTATGAATAGTTGTGTGTGTAGAAAAATACCTTCAGTGGGTATATTTCAGAATGGCGATTTCTTTGACGTTATGTAACCAAAATATAGGTTTATTCAAATACATGTTGGTTCCAAGAACCTTTGCAGAGGAACGTCTGGGGAGTGAAATGTCATTTATAAAGTGAATAGAAGTGACTGATGGTGTGTAGATTTTTTGCTTAGTTTACGATCCAAGTGTAAATGAAGAAATAGTGATGTCTCCTATTGGTTTGTGGGCCTTTAGTCTGAAATTTGATCATAGCCATTGGGTTGTTTTGAAACAAAACATGTCAGTAGCAGCTTGTCAATCACAATATAGCAACAGCCTCAAACATACCCAGTGTAATTGCTAATTTTGCTCTAAATGGCACCATAATTTATCAAATAAACACCATGTTGTACAAAAGACGGCTTGAAACTCGTAACTGAGACAACACATTTCTTAGAAAAATTATCACTGAGATAAGAAATCAAGTAAGAAATTGGCCATTTTCTTATAGGCTTTTATACAATCAGACCTCTTTTTACAATTAGAGGAGTTGCCCTCTGCTGGACATAAGTAGTAATGCAGCTTTAAGTCACTTTTGCATTGGCTTCACTTTTCAGGTGCAGAAGCTACATCCGTCTTCTATCTACTGTCTTTATTCAGCACACCTGCCAGTAAGACTTTATAGCTGGCAAGAGGGCCAGTAATTCAAACTCTCAATCATATCATCCAGTATGACATTATCAGATTATGAAACCTTTTAGCATCGATGTCAAATCCACTATGAGTGAGACAATAACATTTGAATGGAAGTTTTTAGGCAGAACATTAAAATACACCAATTTTGTAAAGCTTCTCCATCTCCAACTCCATTTCCCAAACGGATTAAGATAAAGGAGGTTGGGTTAAATTCACCAATAGGATTATAACCGAGGCCCAAAGTTCTCCGTTGTTGTATTTTTTTTTTCTCCCCCCCAACAAGCCTCCATCCGTTATCTCTCTCACACAAGCTCCAGACTGCAGCCATGAAGCTGAAAACAGCAACATGATGCATATTAATGTTTTCTTTTCCTTTTTTTTTTTTTTTACATATGTATGATGTTTGTTTGCTGCGTGGGAACATGCGCAAACGTGCGCCCATGTGTGTCTGCGTTTCGCCGTGTGCGCATGTGCGTGCCAGACAACCATGCCAGATGTGTTAATGATTGTAGTCATGGCAACTAGTTTCTGTTCTGAGAGAAAGATGTCGAGGGTGAGAGCAGGCTGGGGAGAGAGAGAGAGAGGAGAGAGGAGAGAAGAGGGGGTGGACTGGTGAACTTGGTGGCCAGAACAGAAATATATTTTTCATGAGGCAGCTGCTGTGATGGGTGAAGCTCAAGGATACAATCAAATATCTTTTGACTCAAGGTCCCAGACTTATCCTGATTATGACAGGGGTCGTAAATCAACACCAATCACAGCGTTGCGTGTGTCAGTTTGTGATTGTTTGGGCCTATCATTGTGTGTGTGTGTGTGTGTGTGTGCATTTCTGGGTAAGTGTAGCATGTCTGGTGTGTGTACATTCGTCAACGCGTTTGTGTACCACTTTGAAGTTCTTCCAAATGCTCTATGATCTCAGAGAGGCTTAATGATAAGAATTTGATGTAGTGATAGAGATAATGAGGTTTACATAACACACACACACTCACACACACACAGACACACACACACACACACACAGACGCGCAGCTTTAATAGGAATTCAGTTGCATACATTCTCACCCCACAGAAGCTGCCGCTGGGTCAAGTGAAACCCCCTTTAATAAAATAATATTTGAGCATGTGTGTGGGTTTGAGCGGGCATGTGCACCCTCGACGACGGTGGTTATCTGGTTTGCGGTGGAGTTTCAGTGTAGTGACTGCAGCTGCTTATAATGCACATGGACAGCATCCATGCATGAAAAAGAGCAAAAAACAAGGAAGAAAAATGTGCCTGCAAGATAAAAAAAAAAAGGAGTAATATAGAAGTGTCTCCCTTATAGAATCCTAACAACTCAGTTCAATATAATGTAACCTACTATCTTAAAGATATGTCTAGAATATGGGAAATACATTTTATTTACCCTGATGTATGAGTTGCATAACGGTTCTTTATGTGCAATAGCTTATATCCAGTGAAGAGCAGAGTAAACTAGTGTGCAGATTACAAAAAAAAACTTAAATGAAATTAAAACTGAGATGATGGGAAGGCTATGAATTAAAACAAAAGTACGGTTTGCCCACATCAACAGCTTTCCCAAATACTGTAAGTCTCCTCGGCAAAGTAAACATAACGTTATATAAGAGATGGTCGCGCTGAAATGCTTTAGAAACACCATAGCTTTACTGGGTTTATACCTTCCCAAAATAAACCGTCCTTAACTGCAAGATGTACTGTATGTTTACACTTCTTGAGGATTGTGTAAGGAGCGACGGCGTTTCTGTCGGAAAACCCTAAGCAGAGCCGTTTCTGTCAAACACAGACGGATGGAGACACCTGAGAAACGTGGCATCACTGGAAACACTGGAATTCTGTCACAAGCAAGCCGCTGTTGTTGATCATATTTCTCCAGTCGGTGTATCCTCGCTGTATATCTCCCACTCCTAACACAACTACAAGTGAGCTCACGCTGTTGCTGTATTTTTCGGGGGCTGCACAAAACCAGCCGGCTGAACTTTTAATGTAAAATCTTTCACTGTAATGTAGATAAATCGGCAGCCACAATGACCACAGAAAAACAAAAAAAAAACGAAATAAAGAGTGATGACTTTAGCTCACTTTCTCCATCCTTCCACTTTTCACTGGACGGCATACATCTCTCTTTTGTGTTGCCTCTGTTGTCTTGTTCCTAATGAGACAGCCAGTCAGCCAGGCAGCGAGGCCCGGGCAGCTCTGTTCTTTGTCTTTGGATGGAAAAACCCTGCCAGAGACGGAGAGCCCCGCGTCTGGAGGACTGGTGAAATAAGCCGTTCTGTGACAGTGCCTTCAAAGAGAAATGGCACATCACATCCCCCAGATAACAGCAGGGCACTGGTGAATGTGCTGATGGAAGATGTGAAGCGTGTGTGTGTGTGGAGAGAGAGAGGGAGAAAAAGCAAACGAAGTGCTGCTTTTGTTTTTCAGATTACACTAATGGACTTGGCACGGATCGAATCCTTAAAGAGGGGAAGGTTGTACTTCATGGACCATTTGGGAGACAGTTCGTGGGGAAATTTACACACAAATACAGGGAATGCTTCCTGTCTTGTTACAGTAAATAGAGCTGAGGTGATGAAAATTTTGAGAAGTGATTTAATCTTTAAGTCGTCTACGACCAACATGCCAAAGATTCTTATGTTCCGACTGCTCGGATGTTAAGATTTGCTGTTTTTGCTTTTTATCTTTGTGCTTTTGACCAATTATTGTTGGATTTTGGAGTGTTTGGGAAAATAAACCCTACAAATGTCATCTTGAACTGTGAAGAACTATGATAGATATTTTTTACTGTCATTAGAAATTTCAGAAATGATTACTTAAGGTTAGATTACTCATGAAAATGATCACGTGGTGCAGCTCTGTTCCACTACACACGATTCCCTTATGTGTATAAAACATGGTTAAATGC